AGTCCATTTAGCTCCCAAGAAAACCACCACATAACCCGTCTGAAATAACTGATTGTGCAGACATTTTGCGTGCGCATGCTGCCGTCTTCACTGTATGAGCCACTGAGGTAAACTTTGCCCTCCGCTTTATTACTGATGCCAGTTTCCTTACTCATACCTCACTGCGCTGTGTGACCGCATGTTGGCTGCACTCATTAGCCGGCACCAACACTGCATCACTGGTGCAAATACTTCACTCTTATCAGTCCCGTCTCCTCACTTGGATGTTCAATACCTATAATCAAGGTCAGTGCACAAGCCGCTTACCCTTCCTCAGTCTGAATTTAGAAACATGGTTTTTAATTTGTCTGCGCCTCAGCCTTGAAACTACAACAGCGGATAAATCAGCAATTATTCTGCATTCATAAATTCAAAATGAACGAGGGCCCAGAATGAGACTGCTGATGGAGTAATCCATCTGTAAGTAACCCTGCTGCCCCTTTTGTTCTTTCTCAGACATTACTTCATGTATAGTTAGTCTCATCTGTCTGTTTTTTTTTCTGTAATAAATGTAGGTTTTAGTACTTAAATGGGGTTTTTCCTGTAGAATATTAGTGAAATTTACTTCCCAATACAAATGACATTCCTGCTCATGTGACATCTGGAGTTGTGATTAATTAATCAGATGATAGGAAAGCCTGTCACCGGTCAGAGGGGGGCAGAGTGTGTCATGTTAGATAATCCTTGCCACCAGACCATCATGTCAGCACAGAGGAGCATCAGAACAGCTGGGCACACTAAGCCCTCAGTGTGTGTGTGTGTGTTTGTAAGTTTGCGTGGTAAGAAGACAGCAGCAGTCCCCTCCCCCCCACACACACACCCCCATCCCTCCCTTATAACCCCTGGGTATGGCACTGAACAGAAAGAGAGCAGCATTTAGGCCATAATTAGAGTCCTGTTCAGAGTGGAGTTCTGTCTGCTGAGATAATTAGGTCTGTCTTCATTACAGCAATTGCAGATAGCACCACGACTGGAGCCCAATAAAAAGGCTGAACCATTACACCACTTGAACACCATGCAATCTCCCTGTGGCTCAGTCTTCTTTACTTTTAAACCCACCAGGTTTCAGAAATGATCTGATGCGGCATGTGGGTGGTGCACAGGTGCTGCTGAGCAACAAGCTTTTCAGAATTTGAAATACGCTTGCACAAATGAAATTATCATTTTATTTTTAAACAAGTGGAGGAAATAAATGATTGCGTTTGATTTGTAGT